CTACTGCATTTCCAAATGCAACCGTAAGAAGATACCTTAATTGAACAGCTTTTTAAAAAATCATACAAAGAAGCAAGCTTTCATAAGCAAATCTCACTTCTTCAGGCTAGTCACCACCTCTCCATGGACGGGAGGGGGGGAACATGGAAGGTGAGAGTCTCAAAAATTCATAGCAGACCTCTATGTTGAGACTGCTGTTAGAGGTCAATTCAGAACTAGGTTATTAAGGCCTGGTTTTACCAGGGAGCTGGACAGGGGACAGATTGGATTTGTCTTCAGTGTGGAAGAGATTGTCACTCTCGAATTGTCCTTCTCAGCCACACTAGACGCAGTTCCAAGACCTCCATACAGAGCACGTTACCATAGTCTCTCGAGACTGAAGGATGCCTACAGTATAAAGGCCACTGGGAGGTATGGTATCCAGCATCCTCCTTTGTAAACATGGTTGGAAATCTCCATGCCAAACGCCAAACAAAGGACTTGCTAATTTACTCTTGCGACTGCCTGCCCCAGCCCTCCCCCCTCATTGCCTGCTCAGGAATCAGGAAAAGCAGGAGGGACAATACAGACATTGTCCATTAGAAGGTTGGGATTCTAATTTTGTTTATTCACCAGGTAGAAAAGGAGCCAATGATATCCCATATTACTTAAATTATTACTTGTTCTACTTTACTCTTGCATTTGCGAACCCCTGAACCGCATGGTCTTTTCCTAATTCTTTCTGCATTTCCGAAGCGATCTTGTCTTTTCAGGCTACGGCCGGCAGAGGTCTCTCCTCTGCTGGCCTTTCCTTCCTAGCTCCCATCTTTGCCTTTCCTGGTTGTGCAGGGTCAGTCCCGTCGGATTCAGGTGGAAGTGAAGTCCGTGCAAGAGTCTGGGACGTTGCCGCTGATGGAAGAATCCATCTTGTCCGTTGCAGTGGGTTGCGTTCAGACAAGAAACATCAGGCCGCCCAAAAATCACGAGAACCACCAGGTAAAAGAGTGCTGGCTTTTTGAGCATACAACGGTCCTGGGCGTGAAAGCATAATCTTTGTATCTCGTTATTCACGCAGAAGGATGCAGGTTCAGGTTTTCAAATGACCAAGCGCATAAGGGGTGGAAAAAGGCCTCTCTCGGTCCTGGAGAGAGGCTGCCAATCAGAGTAAACAGTATTGGGCCAGATGAGGAATCAGAGAATCGTGAAGTTGGAAGGGGCCTCTAAGGCCATGAAGTCCAACCTCCTGCTCGAGGCAGGAATCCAAATCTTATACAAGGCAACTTCCTGTGTTCCTTCATTCCCTCAAGCCTTAAAATCTATAGCATTATGTCAAAGGAGTAATGGACAAGCAGATCAAGCCTGCCTACAACCAAATCCATGATTTCTGGAGGCCAAAATGTGGAAACTGAGGCTGTCCTCCTTTGGGCTCTTCATAAGAAGGCAGGATTCTCTGGAAAAGACACTAATGCTGGGAAAACCTGATGGCAGCAGGAGAAGAGGAAGACCCAATACGAGATAGACTGACTGCATATGGGAAACCACAGTTTGAGTCTGCAGGACCTGAGCAGGCCTGTTGAGAGGACATTTTTGGAGACTGCTCTCCATAGGGTTGCCATGAGTCAGAGATAAGTTGACAGCACATGACAAATAGAATAACAGACGGACAGGTTGGGGTGTTCAGTGTCCTTTTCTTGAGATGAGCATCACCATTTACAACTTGCCGTTTTACTTTGTGTTGAGTGACATGAGTGGGAGATACTAACTTATTTGAATCGGTGTGCTTTTTGCTTAGGAGGAAGATGATGACATGGACAGTTACCAGGTAAATATAGCCTTGTTTTCCCCTTTTAGACGTAAGTGTTTTAATCGTATTGCCCTACCCTTTCTGTACTAGAGAGTCAACATGACTGTCTGGTCATAAACAGAGGTTTTTGTGGATAAAGCTGCACAATACAGGATCCCGTCCCCTTTGACCGAAACATAATCCTCAGAAGCTTGCTTTTCATTTAAAGATAAATACAAGTTCCTGATTCTAACCCTTCTGGTTGAAAGAATACATATGCTTGAACCACTACTAAATCAGTTTTCATATTTGAATGTACGTTCCATGGAAGACAACTATACTTTTAAGTTTGCTACATCATAGAAAAGAAGGAACCACTTAAGACTGTCCATATCTTACCTATAGAAATACAGAAATCCAACATCAGTAGGTGGTATTTTCCGATACTTTCAGTGCTTGCTTCTCTGGCCCTTGAAATTTTTCTGCGTGGAGGGGCTCAGAAGCCCATCTTCCCACTTCCATAGAAACATAGCATAATGGAGTTGGAATGGGCCTATAAAGCCATTGATTCCAACCCCCTGTTCAAGGCAGGAATCTTAAATCAAAGCAGATCTGACAGACGGTTGTCCAATTGTCTCTTGAATGGCTCCAATGTTGGAAACTCCCAAGCTCATTGGTTCCGCCGTTGTACTGCTCTAACCTTTGAGATGTTTTTCCTGATATTCAGCCAAAACTTGGCTTCTTTTGGCTCGAGTCCATTCTTACATATCCTGCACTCTGAGATGATCCAGGACAGATCCTGCCCCCTCCTCTGTAGGTCTGCCTTTCAAGGCTTTGAAAAGTGCTCTCCTATCTCCGTCTTCTTTTCTCAAGGCTAAACATGCCCAGTTCTTCCACTCTTTGTTCACGAAACAATACTTGACCCCTTTAAAGAAGAGAATCTTAATTCTCCGCAGGACAGGGACCTGGAGAGGCTCCGTCGGAAGTGGCTGAATGCGCTTACAAAACGCCAAGAATATCTCGATCAGCAGTTGCAGAAACTGGCAGGGAAGCCTGGTAAGAATGAAGAGTCAGACCTTGGAGAAAGTTACTGTTTTCGCCTACAGTTCCCAGAATTCCCCCAGCACTGGCTGTGCGGCCTTAGGGGGATTCTAGTCCAAACGGGTACCTTTTCCAGACTTTGATGCAGTTTATATTTGTGGCTAGTTAAATAGCTTTCAATTCTTTCATAACGTTCCTGAATAAGTTAGTCAGTAAAGAGAGAGAGATTCTTCTGAAATACACTTTGCTCATGGGCAGCTATAGAAGTGCATGAAACATGCCATGCGTCAGCTCTTGGTTCACACAAGGAGATGAGATGGCAAAGCCACCGAGCAACCCAGCCACTCAAGATCAGCCTGGGGCAGATGTATTGTCAAAGTCTTGCAGGCTTTTCCTTACTGACTGACTGTCTAGAGTTTATATATTGTTAAATCTGGTTTTTTTTAATGCTTTTACTTCATATTCAGGGCTTGAAAAAATGCATTCATCCATTCATCTGTGACGAGTGAAAAATGCTGTTTGATGAGTCACAGCTCCCTCCCTCCCTGCCTCCTTCCCCTCCGCCTGTCCCTCTTTCTCTCTAATCCTGCAGTCCTCCCCTCCCCCTCCCATTGCAAAAGGGAAACTGCCCTCTTCTCGCAAGAAGAGAGTTCGAGCAGCACATAGAGATGTAGCTCTGCAGAGAATGTAGAATAGTCCCATGATGGAGAACATGGAGATTCCCTGCTCCCAATTTCAACCAAACGAGGATACATCCTAGGGTGGGAGGGAACCGTGGCTCCTTTAGAGACCGGGCGCTTTTGCTTTCAGTTTTTATTTTTGCTGGAGACATTCAAAAGAAAGGCTTTCAAAATACAGTGGTGCCCCGCATAGCGACTATAATCTGTTCCGAAAAAATTGTCGCTATATGGGTTTGTCGCTATGCGGGGCAAAAAAAGCCCATAGTAACGCATTAAAACACGTTTAATGTGTTCCTATGGACAAAAAACTCACCGTTCTGTGAAAATCCTCCATACGGCCGCTATTTTTGCTGCCCAGTAAGCAAGGAAAGGGCACGAAAACAGTGCGGGCGGTCATTTTCTTTACCCGGCGGCCATTTTGGAAGCGCCGATCAGCTGTTTAAAAAAACATCGCTATGCAAAAATCGGTAAGCGAAACGCTTACCGATCATCGCAAAGCAATTTTTGGCCATTAGGAACATTGCAATGCGATCGCTTTTGCGATCACAAATAACACGTCGCTATGCGGGTTCATCGTTAACCAAGGCGCTCGTTAAGCGAGGCACCACTGTACAAGCTTCATGACTCCACAGGTACGCAGGTAATAAAGGAACCCAAGCCGGAGGGTATAAATCAGTGATTCCCAATCCCGATAAATGGCAGGGCTATAATTCGGTCGTGCTGACTGGTGAAATTTTTGACTGACTGGTGAGACATTCAAAAATATTTCAAGCCCTGCTCATATTTGTAATATAATTTTATTAGTTCTTCTTTCATATTTGAATAATTACCTGTTTTTAGCTTTTAATATTGTGTTTTGATGGCGTAAAGCCACCTTCTGTGCTTTTTTAGGAGAATGGCAGGGTAAAGGTATGTTAAATAACAATCATCATAATACATGCACCTGTGTGTATGTGTGTGCATATAGGATGCTGGTAAACTATTTGGCAGGATTTATTGGTGATAAAGCAGGAAGCGGAGCCTTGCATTGCTGGGAGCCCAGATTAAATTAACCCACTTGCACCTTTCCCCTTGCATTGCTGACTCTTTATCTATCTGAACAAGGTCTTCCCTAAAACCCAGTGCAGAATTTTCTGCAAGGCGCAGGAATTCCTCGTTAGGTAATCTGATGCTGGAAAGATTCCCTCGAAGGAAGAGGGAAACTAAAATCAGTTGGCCTCTTCCAGACAAAACCGAAGATGATGCAGACCGAGAAGCTCAGCTGTTAGAAATGAGGTTGACACTCACCGAAGAAAGAAATGCTGTTATGGTGCCGTCGGCGGGCAGCGGGATCCCCGGAGCACCCGCAGAATGGTAAGCGCTCCGGCTTCTTTTGATCCACCACCCTTTCTTTCATACCCTGGCATGAGAGTGCTCTGTTTGCAGAAACAGTGGGAGGCTGAAAAAAGTTCAGTCGCCAAGCTGGAAGCTGGTGGAAATGTGATCACCCCCAGTTTGCAGCAGCTACAGGCGTGCAAATCTTCATTTCTTTCAAGCTGGTCCGTAATTGGATGTCTGTGGGTTTGCACAGAACCTGCTAAGGCCATGCTGAGTGTGTTTGCACGTGCATGTCCATGGAGGATAAAAGGAGTGCCATGATCAAAATCAAGAAAAGATCCACTGACTTAATTTATTAAAACATTTATAACCCGCCCTGTATCACAGGATCTCGTTAAAAGACACTGTCTCTATCAACCAGGATCTCTGTAAAACCATCTAAAATAAAATAGTTCAAAACACAAAATTAAAACATTAAAGCCCTTGCATTTCAACATGTGCAGTTACTGTCTTCAACTCCCAAAGACTTAATAAATACAGTGGTGCCTCGCTTAACAGCGATAATCCGTTCCAGGAAAATCACCGTTAAGCGAAAACATCGTAAAGCGAAAAAAACCCATTGAAATGCATTGAAACCCCTTCAATGCGTTCCAGTGGGGTCAAAACTCACCGTCCAGCGAAGATCCTCCATAGGGCAGCCGTTTTCGCTGCTTGTCTTGTGAGCAATCTGTCCCAGAAAACTCACCGTCCAGCGAAGGTTTACCCGGCGACCATTTTGAAACCGCCGATCAGCTGTTTTAAAATCGTCGTTTTGCGAAGAATCAGTTCCCGAAGCAGGGAACCGATCATCGCAAAGCGAAATTCCCCCATTTAGACCATCGTTTTGCGATCGCGAGTGCGATCGCAAAAAGATCGTCGTAATGTGGCTTCATCATAATGCGGGGCAATTATAAAGCGAGGGACGACTGTAAGGACATTTTGACTTGGTACTGAGCAGGCTGTGGGATATTTCTTGCTAGCAAAGCAAGGGATGATAGAGCAGTCTTTCACGAAAGTCTTTCCCTGGGCAGGTATGTCATCTAGCTATTAAAGTCAGGGGTTGAAAAAATACTTAATTTTTCTTTTGTCATCCAGAGCAAGACAGAGAGGTTCTGTTTCTCCTTTAAGTCTCTGTTCTTTGCACTAAAATGCTATGTACATGTTTACCCACCTATGCAAACGCATGCATGCGTGGATGCATGCACATGCACACATGTACACACACAACAAGTGTGGAAGGATTTGCTAAGGTGCCAACAATGCATTTAGTGTTTCAGATTCTTAAATAAAGCCACAAACACCATGGTTGTGTAATTATGTGGGCCGGTGGGGGGAGGAATATATTTTTCCTGCAAAACAGTCCTAGCCAATGTAAGAATTCTTATTGAAACCCGACGGAAATTCATTGCTGATGAGGAGAAAACATAAGAGCTTAAGAGGAGACCTGCTGGATCTGGCCAAGGGCTCCTCTAGTCCAGTTTCCTGTATCTCACAGCGGCCTCACCAGATAGATAAAGGGCCCCATCTAGTCCAGCTTCCTGTATCTCACAATGACTCCACCAGATAGATACCTCTGGGAGCACATGGGACAACGAGACCCCTGTCTCCTGATCCCCCTCTTCCCCTGCATCTGGCCTTTGGAGGTCCCTTCCTTCGAAGCCTGGAGATTGTACATCCCCATCAGGGCTTGTCACCTGCGATGGACTTTTCCCTCCAGGAATCTGTCCAATCCCCTTTTCAAGGCCTCTAGGCCAGATGCCCTCACCCTATCCGGTGGCCAGGAGTTCCACAGGCTAACAACAGGCTGGGTCAAGAAATAACCTTTTAATTGCTCATCTTTGCTTATGTGGGTGAGACAGAGGGAGACCAGTACATGGAGGACATCCAACTCTTATTTCTCCTTAGCACCTAAACCCGAGCAAGTCGTTCTGGCTCTAGATCAGGGTCTAGAATAAATTGGACTTTAATCCAGACCAGACAGAGGTGCTCCTGATTGGTCAAAAGACAGATCAAGGAAGGTAGATTCAGCCTGTGCTGGATGGGGTGGCGCTCCCTCTGAAACCACAGGTAGACAGCTTAGGGTTGCTCCTGGATTCGTCTCTGAGCCTGGATGCCCAGGTTTCAGTGGTGGCCAGGAGGGTTCTTGAACCATAAAAACTAGTGCATCGGCTGTTCCCGCAGAGGTCTCATCCGGCCACGGTGACACATGCCTTAGTTACATCCCGGCTGGATTGCTGTAACGTGCTGTACATGGGGCTGCCTCTGGATCGTACCCCAAAACGTCAGCCGGTCTAAAGTGCAGCGCCCAGATGCCTAACTGGGGCTGGATACAGAGATCACATAACCCACCCCCACCCCATTGCGGTAGCTCCACCAGCTGCCGATCCGTTTCTGGGCACAATTCAAAGGGGCTGGTTTTAACCCATAAAGTAGACACGGTCTAGAGGGGCAGGGTAAAAATCAATCAAACAAACAAACAAACAAACAAACAAATAAATAAATAAATAAATAAAAATAAAGCTCTAAATGGCTTGGCCCCAAACGATATAAAAAAAGACTGTGTTAAGATCATCACCTTGCACTCCACTGGAGGAAAACCACACAAGAAAAGCTCCTGTAACGTTAATACAAACGGTGGGTCACGTCTGCCGTTACTGGGATTTGATCACCTGCGTCCAAAGCTACATTTTTTCCTACCATGCATCAGAAACCGGACAGGCTGCACGAAAATATTTATTTGTAAAATAGAGAAAGTGCTGGTTTTAACCTTGGGTTTCTTTTTAAGGAGAAAGGCAGGGTAAAAAAATATTTTAAAAAATAGAATTTAAAAAACAGATAAAGTCCTGAACAGCTTAGATCCAAGCTGTCTCAAGAACCACATTTTCCTTTATGTGTCTATCTGCATGTTAAGATCCTTTGGGGAGGCCTTTCTCTTGTCTCTTGGTCCCGTCACCTTCACAGGTGCATTTGGTGGGGTAGAGGGGCTTCTCTGTGGTTGATTGAAGACTCTGGAACTCCCTCCCACTGGAGGTCAGGCAGACCCCATCTTTGCTCTCCTTCTGCAAGCAGACAAAGACCTTTCTTTTCAGGCGAGCCTTCCCTCAGTGACTGGCTGCCTGAAGGCAGTTCTTAAATGGATGGTTGGGCCTTACTGCTTTGAATGTGTTTTTGGTGTTGCTTTGTTTACCATCTTTTAGCGGGTTCCCCCCCCCTTTTCCCTGAAAACACAGGTGTGCAGCTTACAGGTGCTCCTGGGTTTGCCTCTGAGCCTGGATGCCCAGGTTTTGGCAGTGGCCAGCGGTACTTTTGCTCAGGAAAAGCGAGGGCACCACCTCCACACATTCCTGGAAAGGTCCGATTTGGCCATGGTGGCGCTGGCCAGATGGCTGGACTACTGTAACACACAATGTGTGGGGCTGCCGATGGAAAGGGTCACGAAACTTCAGCAGGTCCAAAACATAGTAACCAGACAGAGAACTGGGACTGGACACTGGAATCACATCACCACCACCACCCCCGTTACAGCAGCCCCACCAGCTGCCAGTCTGTTTCCAGGCAGAATTCTGAGTGCTGGTTCTGACCTAGAAAGTCCAAAACGATGTGGGTCCAAGCTATCCCAAGGACCATCCCTTGACGAGCGTTTTCGAGGGTTAAGATGATCTGGAGAGGCCTTTCTCTCCGTCCTGCCACCTTCACAGATGTGTCTGATATAGGCAGAGTTACAGCAGCCCCACCAGCTGCCAGTCTGTTTCCAGGCAGAATTCTGAGTGCTGGTTCTGACCTAGAAAGTCCAAAACGATGTGGGTCCAAGCTATCCCAAGGACCATCCCTTGACGAGCGTTTTCGAGGGTTAAGATGATCTGGAGAGGCCTTTCTCTCCGTCCTGCCACCTTCACAGATGTGTCTGATATAGGCAGACTCTGTGGATGCTCTCAGACTTTGGAACTCCCTGCCACTGGAGGCCAGCCTGGCCCCATCTTGGCTGTCTTTCTGCAAGCAGGCAAAG